CCCGGAGCACACCAGGGCTTGGATTGATTTCCGCCCTCCCACCTCTATGCACCAAAACGTTGTCAGTTGCTGCTAAATTTGGACTATGAGGACTAGGGGTTATGCTGCTAGAAGTAATATTTCAATGCTAGGAGCGCCAATTCTAGTAATCACGCGCTAATGTGTGACGCTGATGGCCCACAGACTAGATCTGGCAGGTTTACCATCGAACCGAAGCTCATCAGTGTCTCGCCACTTGTCATTCTCTGTCGCTGCATATTTCGTATTTTTTTCAAACAGGAATAGATGCACCCCTATCCATTGGCTTCCTGAAAAAAAATTCCGTTTGCGTGACAAAAGTCACGAGCAGATAATCAGTTACCAATCCAAATTCAGTCAAGTTATAATTGTAGAGAGATGAGAGATGAAAGAAAATGCTGGCAGATTGATCCAAAATATTTGGTACCACAGTGATTGTTTGGTAACATTTGCGTTTTATGGGCTTGTACATACGTGGTTTTCCTTTCATTACCTTTGTAGGACTTCTTCGACGATCTGTCCGCTAAGTGGGTGAACGCTTTTGAGGTGACCGGCTCCAACCTAATCAAGGAAGACAAACGCGCGGGTTATGCTCAGGCTTCTGGTCTGAGCTCTGTTCTCACTCTAGTCTCAGCCACAGGTACGTCCTGAACAGTTTTTTTTGAGGTAGTCCTCTTCAATCTGGTTGGTGACCTTCCGGCCAAAACCTCTGCCTCGCCATGTACATTCAGGCACTGTCTGTTATATGTTCATAGAATAAGAAGTGTTTACCGGGAGACGTTTATAGCATCAGAAGCTTCAGCGACCTAGTCAACCTCTCCTGTTGAGCACACTTTTCTATTTTGTCTAATACGATGTTTTGTGAAATCCTCAGCTGGTAAATCAAACCAAGGAGAGGAGTTCAGTAGGGGAGGAGAGTGGGGGTTATTAGCTGTCTAACTTCGAAGGATGAAGACACTAGTCACATTGAACTGCGGGCCCCACAAACTATTGGCAGGCCCAGCACCAGCCAAATAACAACATTTAATCAAGGCTGTCTCCAATCTCTGAAGATGGATAGGTCCGACTACTACTACTACTACTACTAAAAGCGTGTATGCAGTAAACCCCTCTCTTGGTGAGAGCCTCTTCTTCGTTTCGTAATAGACAATCGTAGGACTCTGTTTTTCTGCTTTAAAAGCAACATGGAGAGGTCTTATTGTCCTCTGGCAGCCAATTTCCCTAACCTTCATCGAGGCCGGCTAGACAAGACATGATCACAGCCGTATAAAGTTCAAGTCAGTAAGAAGCCACTACTCAAAACGTCTGACATGCAGTAAATTTCTCTGCTGCTGAAGACACATCACCTGGAGATCGCCCTTTTGATGGCTGTGCACATATGCATTACCGACGCCCAAACCTCAACATAGTAACTGCTATTTGCTTGACTCTAGAGCCTCTTTACGGCTGCTTGTCTTGACTTTTTTCTTCTTCTGTAAGTCCAAGGCAGTTGCTAGTCCTCTTCATAGTCTCTTATATGTCGAAAGAAGAGGAAACAGTGTTTGCAAGGGAAAATGTATTGGGTGTCGGACGTTTTCGGTAGTGATTTCATCTGCCTGTCATATCCACAGCAACGTGAATGAGCGCATGAGATGCTAGTTAAATTTAACCCCACAATCGGATTTCGCACCAGGAGCAAATAGCAACATTTAATGGATCTCTGTTCATGACTCTCCAGACTCGGAAGATGGGTAGGCGCAATCGCTGCTCATAACGTCTGGCATGCAGTAAATCTTGCGTTACACCGCCTGGGAATCGCGTTTTCACTACTGTAACTGTTATATACATATGACGACCTTGCACGCGTGACCCCACTCAAACAGCGGGAGCATAAATCCAATGCTGCGCTAGTTACTTTAACGTGGTGAAGGAGGATGAAAGAAACATATGTACAACGGGTTTTGGGAAGCAGAGACTTAAACAATTACGCTTAAACCACTGGCATTTTTAGCGAAAAACGTAAAAGCGACTGAAGATACCTTTGAAATTGATAAAGTTCATAGCCTGACCCTAATGCCAAACCCCTATTCTTAACTTCTAACCAAAACCTTAGCCTTGATCTCGGCCGAACGGAAACCCTAATTTTGAAAAGGAAAATGCGATCGCTGGAACAGGAAGTGTATTGGCGAGAGGGGTAATCGTAAATAAAGGTGTTAGCGGCAAACCCAAATGGTAAAACTTGTGTCAGATGTGACGGATAACCAGCGATTAAATTAAGCCCACCCAAATACCATAAACACCTAGTTCTTAGGAGCAAACGCTAAATATATCTGATTGTTACGGCGGCCTATCCGCATCAAATGTCTGGCGTTTGAGTCCTTGTCCTAGTGGACAAGCGTAGGCTCTTTGTCTACCCACGCTGTCACTGATATTTTGCCCTTTTTTCACAGGATCGCATGCCCTCGCCATGGATGATTTTCTCACCCATTTACGGTCGGCTTCGCGTGGCCTCTTCGAGTGGCCCAGGTACGTGATTGGCTCTC